TGCAAGTCAATGTAGCGCGTGCGCACATTCACTGGGTGGAAGGACTGGCAGCAGGCGAGAGCATCATAAGTTGACATGGTTGAGCTACAGTCCATACCGTCGAAATTTTAATAAGGGGATAAGGCTATTGATGGGGATGGAGCCATATAAACATACTCAACTTCATCTTGCTTCTTTAAAGGTCCATATGCTCTTGCTTTCAAAGGGTCTGTTTCATTGCCTATCTGATGAGATCTAATATAGAAGGTAAAGTCACATTCCCACTGAATGAACGGAATAACCCTCAGTCTCGTCTTTGGATATCCCAATTATTGTTGAAACGTTAACTTAAGGTGCCTGTTCTACTAATCGTGGTATTATCTGTGAATATCCAATAATTCCGACCATGAGGAACTTATATTTTGTCATATCTAGCTATTATCTCCTCAAAACGTCCATATTTAGCAAGGTAGCTTAGTGTGTTCTACAAATTACAATTAATCTTCTAGCTCCTCTTAATTTATAAATTCCTAACTCATTTTTAATGTATTAAACATTTTGGAGGTAATGCTTTTGTCAAAGATGCTGCGTACTGCCATTTGTTGAGATGCTCTAGCTCGGATCTCCTTATCTTCAACGAACCTTCTGATGAAATGATGACGAACTCTCAGTATGTTTGGTTTGCCATGGAAGTGAATTCTTTGTCATGCTATTGCGACATTTTTCACACGTATGAGATAGTCGATGACCTTGGTCTTATTGTAAATCAATTAAAATCGCCTTCAAAGCTATACGCCTTCGTAGCAGTATTGTAGCTGAGATATACTCTCGGCTCTTGCAGATGAGAGAGCTATGAGTGTTGATTTATTTGAGGTACTAGGGTATTACCTTATCCCATAAGGAAGACAGTATCTGAAGTCTTTTGCGATCATACTATACCATTCAGTCTCAGTCACTGTCGAGTGAGCCACGATAATGCATGCGTTTCCTTTGTTAGGTATCTTATTCTATCCTCTTTGTCATTGAAGGTATAAAGAAATCTGCTTCACTGCTCCATAGTGTAGCTTATGGAATTAACTATCATCGAGTTTGGACCTGCTTACAGCATTATATATTGTGTATTTGGAGGTAGTTAGCGGATCTGACTAGGCTTCTGTAACTGAGGATCCACTTTGCTGCTCTCATTCATTGATAAGCTTTCATTTAGCCATGCTAGTGGAGCTACTGGAGTGCCAATTCTTCCATTGAACTTCTATTCAGAAGATTTTCGCAGTACGGGTCTCTGAGATGGAATATTCCCTAGAGTATGTTTAACTGTAGTCCAGAAAATTTCTAATCAACCTAAATCTGCTCATCTCAAAATCTTCTTTCAAATCTTCCTTTAAATCTTCAATCATCATGGGTTTGTAATGCCACGAAAAAATTAAAATCATCAACCTAATAAAACGATAAAGAGTCCAACTTTTTTCTTCACATATAAGACGGTATCACTTGGCTCTTTGAAATCCATGCTTGTGGAAGTTAGTTATCAATTTTACTCATCTCCAAACCCCGATGCTTGCTTCAACCCGTATAGTGCTTTGTGCAGCCGATAAACTTGTTTTCTTTTCGTCTTAACTATTAAGGCCGTGTGGTTGCTCACATAGACTTCCTCTTCGAGTTTTATTTAGAATGCTAACTTAACATCTAGCTGAAACACTTTGAGCTTGTGCTAGTAGCTATACCGCCATATTGTCACTTATGTCTGCATACCGAGAACTAGGGAAAATGTCTCATTGAAGATCGACACTGGTTCTAAGAGTAACCTTCGCGACTAATCGACCTGAGCTTTTGAAGCGGAACATCTTCATTGTACTTGGTTTTGTAATAATCCACATAAGGCCAATGATCCTTTTTTCTTCCTTGACGTATCCCCAGCCTCCTATGTCTGTTTATTCTCGATCATCAGTATATTCTTTCATGCCATTGCTTTCCGCAACGCTTCATGCCTTGAACACAACTTCTTAAATTTGTTGATTCACAGAGAAGAAATGCTACATTCGCATGAGTCATTAACTATCTTGAAGTGAACGGCACCTTTCTCGGCAGTAATATGGTGTCTAAAGTTGAGCATATGGGACTTGGACTAGGAGAACTTATATGACGTGCTCCTCTTTCTTCTTCAATGATAACTTGGTGTTTGAGGTTTGATGTGTTGCCATGTTTTGCGTCAATTGAAGATAACATCTCTGGAGACTACCAATTTGTTATACTCGAGGATTAATAGTCTATAGGCTTTGGATCTTCAAACTGTAGCCAATAAAGATAGTTTTCTCCTTTTTCATCAAAACATTTTCTTTCTTAGCTGTGTGGTTTATGTCATAGGCATACAACCCCAAAACCTTAAAGAATCACTTCGCGCTTGCCTATAATAACCTTCATATGCACGTCTTGTTTCGGTACAGTTTTGTTGGTGACCTACTAAGAATGAAGACTGCTATAATTAATCGCCTTAGCCGCTATATTTGTTTGGGAGACTTTTTGCCTTTTAACATGCTAACTGCGCCTATCTCCCAATTGATTTTATTTCTCTTCCTGCTACTCTCATTTTCGTTGTGGGATGTATCCTGTTGTTAGTCCTTTTTAATTACATGATTTTTGCAGAATTTGACTCAAGCTCGGAGGTGAACTCCTAGCCTTATTATGACCAGTTCTTAGAGACTTTCAATGTGGTCCTTGCTTTATTTCTACAAGAGCGTTAACTACAAATACAATAATTGAGCAATTAATTCGATTGCTTTAAGAAAATATACCGACACATACATTCTGCTATAATATCAACAAAAGTGAACAAGAATAATTTCCTTGTATTAATGACTGGGGTTTGTGTTGGGCCACAACTCAAAATGCAGCCCAATCTAACGGAAATTTGCTCTCGGACAAAGATGTTTTTAGTAAATGGTAGACGGTGCCATTTTGTCCATACAATACATCATCACAAACGTTGTTCTTCTCTATTTATGTGTGGGATTCCTATCACCATATCTAAAAAATATTTTTAGCAAATTTAACTCTTGAAGTAAAAGTGGCCGTTTGATGCCATAAATAGAGAATAACTTATTTTCTTTCTGATTTGAGTGCAAATTCTCTATATAAATTTAGGGAAAAAACTGTTGTTAGGTATCTATATATTTTTTATCTGGCACTCATTTATTCTATCATCCATATTATCATACATTCATTCTTAAGAAATTGAATTGCATATCCTTTTTGGATTATTGTCATCACATTAGCTAAATTTTGAGTTACCCCGGAAGCATAAAGAACATCTGAATGTTTTAGTCTTACCTCCCTATCGTCTAGACTGCTATTCACTCCCTTCTTTTTAATATTTTACTTTTGCATCTCCAACTTTATTTGAAGAG